AAAGCTTGAAGCTAGTAAAATGATATCATCGACGTAGTCGAGATCAAACAGTCGGCGTCCGGGTGCAAGCTCAATACCATCCTCTTCATGCAGGGCCTTCCCGAGAATCCAGTCAGTGGTGACTGGACTCAACCTTGTCGAACAACAGACCGGATATTGAAAGGTTGAGATTGTTGTGGACCAGAACCCGCGCTTTTGTGTCGTGCTTTTGGTCGTCACTCGTCATTATTTCCATTATTCGCCACAGAGACTCACAATGAACGGAATCGAGTGCAGCGGCTGAGTCGACAAAGCAGGCGGCCGTCGGTTGCTGTTAGCCATGGCGGAATTCCAGAATGCATCGCAGTGTGAATATCTGGTCTACGCATCCGCGTCCAGCTCGGAATCCGGCTTAGTTAGGCCTCGTCCTAGAGTCTCGTACAAATTGGACGATAGTGAAGAACTTTACAGCAGCGTCGATGAGGCTTATGCCGCAATAGTTCTCGCATTTCATCTTATTTCGCCTGCACACGAGCGTCTCGATATTGTCTTGCCGTCAGAAAAGACAGGGGATATGTGTATGGTAAATTAAGTGCAATTTAATGTTACTATGAGCAAATCTACGTGCTGGTCACTGGTGAGTTCATTTTGCGGGACAGTGATGACTCTCAGAGCTAACAACGGTCAAACTATAGTGTGTGTCAGTTTATGTTTGTGGACTCCGAAAATCGTTTCATTTGTGACTGGCTGAATGAGGGTAGGATGAACCGAAAACAACGGTGCATCAACTTACCCGGGTGGAGTTCAACCTGGCAGGTGGTCATTTGTTGGCGACCTCTGCCACAAGTTTACATGCACACGACTGTCCTCTGCCACATCGATTTTTTTCACAAATTAATGGCAAACACTCAATGGTGCGTAAAGAAATGTCCCTTTACGCCTTGGAAGTAAGAAGACAGGTGGTTTGCGCGAATGCAAAAAATTGATCGGTGTATGGACCGACTGATCTAATTTCAATCAGAAGAATTGCCAAAACAATGTTAAAGGTTACCCGGTGCTAAAACGTGCATGAAATAGCGTACAAGTGAAGGTTTAAAAAAGTATGATTCAAACATGCGCTGCGATTCTAACGCATGCGATTTTCTAATCTAATAAATCCTTCCAATGCCCCAGGAGGCACCCCTTCGGGGCTGACTGGTAAACGGGGTCTTATGACGCCGGCTACGCTACTGAAATGCAATGTCGGCTGACGAGTAGTAGGAAACGCGAAACGGGTACGACAGAAATATTAAGCCTAATAATCGATTTTTATGGCCAGGAGTGCATTTGGAGCAAGGAATATCTGACAACAGCTTTAATCAGCGAGCAGACATAAAATAAGGTTTACTTTTTTTCAAACTTACCGGCGAGACTGCTTCACCATTGCTCACGGCGTAAGGGGCTGTGGAAGGTTGTGCAATTGGCGATTCTGGCCCAGGTGAAGTGGTGTCGGACTCCATATTCCCAGAGCCAGCGACTGGCAGGGTGACGGTGGGATTGGAAAGTTCCGGCAAGTCAGCCTTCTGAGGGCTAACTGGCGTGCCAGGAGATGTGTTTTCGAGAGACGCAAATATTGTCGAAAAGGTGCCTGGTGAGAAGACGATAGTAAAATA